TGGGAGTGAGACGTGATGCCCATGAACTGTGGAGCTGGCAAACAAGGCTTCATGCTCCACAAGTTTGCAATTAACTGGGATGCAGCATGCAAGCTGTGGATTGACCATTGATCTGACTTTGGTGGTCTACAAGGCTTTCAACAAGTTGTCGAGACATGGCTGTAGGTACGTGGAGGCTGAGATACGATGCAGGGCTGGCCTCCTAAAGTTAGCTTTTTGTCAGGCTAACCCCATATCTTCCTTTTGGAAAGGTAACTGATTTCCTCAGCAGAGATGACTTTGTGGTGAGACGTTAACGTCATGCTGCATTCCATCATAAGTGGTTTGTTTTTCTGGAGAAGACACAGTATAGCCCAGCTGTTGTAGCTGAAGAGCTCAATAATGGAGAAGTGGTGGGAGGTCTTGAAAGAGGAGATAACCACTGAAGTTCCTTGGAGGTGATGTTGGCTCCTGCTTTCATAGAGGCCACTGGCACAAAAGGCAGGAGCATGCTCATGGGCTTCGCTGCTGGCACAGTGCTGGGGCTGTGGAAACACAAAGTGGGGTGAGGATGGCCAAGGGGAAGAGCTGGAGTAGCAAAAACCAAGACAGTCTGTAATGCAAAGTGGGATGATTGCAAATGTGGGTGTAATGGGGCTTTTGCTGCCAGCTGGGAAATCATGTCAGTTGGAAACAACCTGGTGGATAGAAGTGCTTGGTGCAATGCTTGATTATGGGATGAAAACAAGCCTCCAGGCTGACGGGACTGTGGGAAAGGCCAGTGTGATCTCAGGCTGCAAGTCATGGTGTTGCCAATGTAACTGGGGAGTTACTCATGCTGTTATACAAGTGGGACCTCCTGGAGACTGCTCTGTGTCTTTGGTCACTCTTATTCAAGAAAAAGGGACTTAAATAGGCTGATGAAGAAAATAGAGAGCCATTTTCTATTATAGTGTCTATCGCAGTGGTCCTTCTTGCATAGGTCACCAAGCGGGAGCGTCAGTTGTGCTGGGTCTGAAACCAGAAGCAAAATAACCTCACTACCAGGACTCTGCCTGAGCAATATATATCTGCATCACTTCTGGGACTTGAATTAGTATCTCTTCAAGCCACTTGAGACAATTTGCCCTCCACTTCACTGCTTGGTACAGACGCACTGCCTTATAAGAGCTGGCCTCATGTAACCTATAAATGATAGCTGGGTGGGTCTGGCTCTTGCTTGTAAAGGAGGGAGGAGGAAATGCCGGGAAAGGAAAAGAGCTGCTTAAGCAAAGACAGTTTTGACACAAGAGAAAATGGATGTAAAATGCTTGTGAGTACATTTAGGTAAGAAATGAGAAGAGCGGAGGAGTTCTGGTGCAGTGTTTCAGCGTGAGTTGGGAGGGCAAAGCCCTAGCTACTCCTAAGGTGGACTTTGATCAGTCTGTAGAAGGCACGGTATGATGACAGCTCTGCAGCACAAGGAAACCTGGACCAGCAGGACCCTCCAAACTGACAAGAATTCTGTATGAGAAGGAAGCGAGTATTTAAACAAACACCCCCTTCCCTTCATCCCCCCCATCCCAAAGTGGACAATCTCATCTGTGTTAGCAATGCATCTCATATGGTCTCGATTAGAAGTTGGAAATGAGTCTAGGTGGATGTGTACATGGTGAGCACTTCAGAATTTGTGAAGTATGCTATTGGTATTGCATCTTGGAGAAGAGCAGCTTACCTTAGTAGTAACTGAGGAATGCCACAGGAATATATATTTAGAGATGTTTGCAGGGAGGAGGGAGTAACCCTCTGACTGTAATTCATACCTCAATGCCTGACTGCAGAGACCGGGGCAGGGCTGGGAGTTGTCACATCTGTATTTGGCGTGAACCCAGCACCCGTGTTCCTGCCAGGTTAATGAACCAAGGCAGAGGAGAAGGGAAGGTCTCAGTCTTCGGCAGCAGTTGGGAGGATGTAAGATTTCTAGGGCAAGCAAAACCCTGGAAGGAAAAGGGGGAGTTAGTTGAGATACTGAAGGACATGAAGAGGGACTTAAGTTTTAGGGGTGGAGTTTCTTTGCTTGGTTGGTTTGCTTTCCTGTGCAACCACTGCCAATTTTGCAATCACAGCTTGACTCCTTGAGCTTTCAGAATAAGATGCATTTCTGTTTTGTTTTTAAAGTGGATTCAAGCAAACCCAGCCAGTGCAAAGTTACACTATTCTTTCTAAAGCAATAGGGAACCAAAGAAAATGGTTTTCCCTGTATATCTTTGAGGTGCCTGTGAACCAAGACTGATTTGCTGCTTCTAGGAGCAAGGGTGCAACTCCTGCTAAGTTGAAAAATCAGAGAGAAAAAAGGGAAAGAGCCATTTCTGGGAGTCCCTGAGAAGGGAGGTGTCTGTATAGCTTAAAGGACTCAAAGTCCCTTGCTGATCTGTGTGCCTAATTCAAGATGATGCTATTTCCCTCTGTTACACTCTATGTAAAGCAGCTGGTAAAGCAGCTGCTGGGTTGGGGGATTATCCTATACGTAAGTGTGTGTGTATGTATTTCGACTGTTGCTTCTCTTGTCTCTCCCTTTATGGGTGTTATGTGTCTATGTTAAATAACATAACAAAGCATATCTGGCTCAGGAAGCTCACGGGCTTCATTTGGGAGGCTGGAACACAGGTTGTGGAGTTGTATTTACAGTTTAGTGTAATGTCACTTCTGGGGGCCTTGGCCATGGGGGTCCCCAAGACCCCTGTGCCCCAGTGCTGAGTCATCAGAAAGTAACGCCTGTGCATGTTTGCTGAGAACAAGCTTGGGTCTTTTTCTGCGTCTTCTAGAATGCTGCCCACATGGCTTTGAGTGTCAGGTCAAAAATAACCTTGACTTTTTTTAGCAAACACAATCAATAAAACAAGAGCCAATCTGGCCGCCTCCTCCTTCCCAGCTGTGGTTGCTCCATAGCTCCTGGCTTGGGGCTGTTTCATCCATTGCTCCCCGAAGGTCATTGCTTGGATGCTGTAGCTTCAGCATGCCCTGGTGGTAAACCCACTTCATCCCGTTCCTGCTTCTTCCCACGTTCATTCGTTCTTTTGGGAGGACCCTCTCATTTGGGTTGTAGGAGTTGCAGGTGGGAAACGCCTTCAACCTGTGTTTCTAGCCTTGCCCAGTGTGGCCAGGCTGTTTGGTGACAAGTTCCCAATAACTCAGTCCTGCAACCTTGTGGCTGAGGACCTGAACTCGCAGTCCTGCAGTGTCTCGGAAGGGTTTCAGCGAGCCGTTGGATCTCTTGACTGACTCCTCCCAGTCTGTGTTTTGTTCTGCAAGTGTTCACAGAGGCCTTAGATGTTGGCCGGGAATATGAAATGGCTATAATAATGTCCTGTTACTCATTCTGTCTGGGACACAGATGATCCAAGCTGATGGGCAGGTCATTGAGGATGAACTGTAACTTACACTGTCATGCAGCAGCAGGTTGGGAGCTTATGCTGCGTCCTTACACTAACCCCTCTGGGTATGCAGACAATTATGGAACATGTGGAAAGCAGAGGTGACTTTTGTGCATCTCTGCTTTTCTTGGATCTGCATGGTGAGAGCAGAGAAATATCTTTTGATTTAGTCCAGGCTTTGTATTTTTCTTTCTTGAGCTGGATGGTATTTGGCATGTGGCTCAAATAGGTACATATACTTCTGCAACGCTAATTTGTCTGTTCTTGTGCAAGCACAAGGTGTAGCGAGTGGTGGAGGAGGAACGTGTGGCCCCTGTGACTGCCCTGGAAGTGGTCAAAGGTCCCTCTTCTGCTTATTCACCCTCTGGACTACCATGTGGGGTCCTGCAACCTTCCTGCCTAGAGTCACGGAATGATGGGATGGTTCTCAGTGTTGGCTTATCACCCCAACCCTGCATCACTTGGAAATGTTTCCCCTGTTCAGGGCCAAGACCAAAGCCAACTATTGCATCAAGGTAGATGTGAGCTTGAGTGCACGTGTTCATAAACTTCAAAGTTGGTCTTCTTTCACATACTGTCTAAGGGGACCAGCCAGATGTTCTTCCCCCTCTCAGCTCACTTTGAGAGAGGACAACCTCCACCTGCTCCCCAGCAAAGACCCACTTGAAAATGTTTGTGCTTTCTGGTGGGAGGGTGTCCAAGTTTAATCTGGGAGAATTCCTGAACTGGCCAAGGATTGCCTGGGGGATGAGGACTGAGCTCCTTCCCCACCACGCAGTGTTGCAGCTTGTTAGCAGAGGCCCGTGGCCGCAACCAGCTGGCCACGCTGCTGCCAGCATCGCTCCTGTGCTGCTGATAACAGGGGACCCTGTTCTCTGGGGCTGTCGATCTGTCACCTTCCCCCAGCTCTAATATTTACTGAATAATGATCCCGCAGTGACAGATCTATTTCTGTTTTTGTTCTCTATAACATACCTGCCAGAGCGCCCCGGGCAACTGAGGAATTTATAATAAAGGCATGGTTTCCAAACTAAGTTTGGTATACTCCTGCCAGCAGCACTTCCAGCCAGCAAAGACTAGGACCCTGTTTGTCCACCTCAGTAAGAGACTGGATAAATATGACTTTTTTTTTTTTTCATTTAGGCCCCAAATTTTTGTTGAGAGGTTTTATTTGCATTCACTTCTTTTGCATGAGCTGTCTCAATCACGTCTTTGTTTTACCGATATGCGCAGTGAGGTGCAGAGAGGGGCAATGACTTGGGCCAGGATGTTCAATAGATTGGTTGCACATTCCACACTCAAAATTGTTGGTAAAATCATGTTATTTGGCTTTCTCAAAGCACTGGGAAAACAGAAGAAAAAGCAGTATGAGAAACTACTTGTTTTGGCAGTGTGATGCATATTGTATATGTCTGAGGGTGTGGATGCTGAAGCCTGAGCAGGTTCAATCCCCAGACCTGTTGCAAGAAGGTTGTGGCTGAAGGAAGGTGGGAAGGGGTGTGGGGCTGGGTGGTAGGGCACGACGAGCTCTTGCTGTGTGCTGTCCCCGGCATGGGCAGAGCGACCATCTGGTTGTGCTGCAGCTGAGCCTTTCCTTCTTCTCCACAGACACATAGAGAACTGGAAGAACTTGCAGACGCTGAATGCTGTCGACATGGAACTGTACACGGGACTCCAGAGGCTGTGAGTATGTCCTGCGTGTCGGGCAGGAGAACAGCACTGGGCAGCCCCTTCCTTCCAGCAAAGAGCTGCAGCTTCCCTCCATCCACAGTCTCCATGCCGCAATGTTCGGAGCCTGTTTAAGCTACTGGCTCTGATGTATTTTACTACAAGACTCGGCAAAATGGGGATGAAGTGCTTTTTGTTCTTTGCTGGGTCTGCGAGAAGGAAGATTGCTAGCTCTTGACAGCTCTGTCAACACACATTGGCCCTGACCTCTCTTCTCCCTTGCTGTTCGGGTTCTGGGCTTGTGTGTTGTTCTGACTCATTTCAGTCCCACAATGTGAAATTCCAACTGTCTCCACTGATCCTTCATTGCTGGGCTGTTGGCCCTCATTTAGTGCAGTCGCCATCATGGTGGTGCTGCACAATAAGGGAATCGTATCTCCCTGCACGACCCTCTGAGCACCAGGAAAGATTGACTTTGTGCATCACAGAAGGGAAACTGAGGTCCATGAGATTGAAGGGACTTTCCAGGTGCTTGGGAAGCCTGGCCAAGTGAGGATACCACTCAATCTCTTAATTCCCTCTCCTGGAGCTGAGAGTGCCCTGGATGCTGCTTGCATGAGATGCACAGTGTTGCTCAGGGTTAATCGGAGACTCTGCTAATGTGTTTCACTGGGAGCTTTACATTAGGTACAGCTTGCCTGCAGGCTGGAGGAGAGGTGTACATTGCTGAGCACTTGATAACCAAGCCCCAGCAAGCTGTACTTTCAACACACACACCTTGCAAGCAGGCTGGCTGCTGTTCTCATCTCACCAAAGAAAGCAGCAATGGAGTCGGGCATTCTTTTGTCTGTAGCAGATATTAATAAACCCTGGTCATAGTGCCGATATAGCTTCTCTGAAACAGGGTGGGAAGAGGATTCCCCCTTCAATGTCCATAACTCATATGCAAAATACTCACCCCTCCTTATCAGAGCTGGAAGCAGAAGGGTTCTCTCTTGGGTTTGAGGGAGGGGAGTTGGCGGTGCTGGAGGTTAGGTTTGCTGTGAGGCCAGGCAGTGCTGCTTGTGAAGATGCAGGGAGAAGAGAGGAGCAGGAGAGATGCTCTGGGCTACCCCAGCAAGCCTTGGTGGGTGTTGGGGGAGAGTCTCGCCCTGCAGCCACTCTGTGCTGAGCCTGTGCTGTCACTGTATCAGATGAAGCTGAAAAGCCCAGTTTCCTCTTTGCTTGTAACTCATAGAGGCTGTTTGGGGAGAGGTGTGCCTCCCGGGGTGGTACCGCAGGGCTCCCAGTGCACCGCAGCTGCTGAGCACAGGGTTTTAGAGCGGTTGTCACCCTTGACTCCATAGCTGCCCTTCTGCATCTCTTTGCAGGACAATCAGGAACTCAGGACTACGAAACATCCAGCCACGCGCCTTTGCCAAGAACCCTCACCTGCGCTACATGTGAGTGCCAGTGGCTCCTGCCCCCTTTTCCCTCTGTGCCCTGTGGAAAGGTGATCCCCAAAGCGCCCGTTGGGGAGAACAGCAGAAGGGAAGGGGGATGTTGATGGGGAAAGGGAGGGAGAGGTGGTAAAGGGTGGGAGAAGGAAAAGTGAAGGTGCAGGGAAATGCAATGGGCTGTGATGCGGGATGGGGCAATCTCCTTCTGTGCAGCTGATGGGTTTCGGTTTCTAATAACTGCCCTGGCTTTGATAGCCACTCTAATGAGCACTTGCATCATTAGCAGCCTTGCAGTGGCCAGTGCACGTGTCCCTTTCTGCAGAGTTTGGCGGGCGGCCGCACACCCCAGCACACAGCCGGAGCCTGCCCCGCGCATTAGCTTTTAACCGAAGGGTGCTTTTCCGGCACAAATCCTGGAGCACTGGGCTGCCAGTTCTGCTCCGAATTATTGACTTCTTAAACTGGCATCTGCAGTGGGCCTGGGGTAGGGACGTTTTGTGCCAGGGAGGACAGAGTCCTGTTATCGTGGTACATTGCACAAGTGTCCAGCTGCTGGGGCATCATTGGCTGGCAGGTACGGTGTCCTGGTGAATTCCCACATCCTTGAGGCCAAGGGCACTGATTTCTTTTCTAGATATGTATTTACTTTCCCAAGGTGATAAAGGAAAGCCTGAACTTCAGGCCAGTGTGCAAGGCGCTCCATGGGCTTGAAATATCTTGTCGAAGTGACTGTGTCTGAGGTCAAACCCCTTTCAGCTCCGGTATAGATGTAGAAGGTGAAAAAAGGTTGGTGAGAGGCCACTGGCCTTGGGCATGAGCTGATGGGCTGGATGGAGAGTGTGTGTATCCCTGCTTTTTGGAAACCAATGCTAGTGGCTTCTTCCCTGAAAAACGACTGTAGCGCACATCTGTTTGAGTCTGCAGATGCATGTGGCTATCGATATGGGCATGTTCCTGGTGGAGAGAGACAGATGCGACCTGCAGAGCAGGATAGATTTGTCTTTTGATGTCTACTTGGAAATGATGTGAACTGAAAAACCCCAAAAGCTTCCTTTTTGGAATACCAGTTACAGTTGCTAAGTGATGGTAAAGTACTTGCTAAATAGGAGATCTGCAATACCAAAGGGCATGAATAGTTAAGGGTGTTGTGAACATGCACAGAGCCTTTTTGAGTTTAAAGTAGTGCTTATTTTGTCATCAGAAACCCTCCTTAATGCTGACCACTGGGATTTTCCTGATTTCTATGCTTGGTTATTTGATTTGTAGCCTTTGTTTTGTGTTTTCTGTAGTTGTTTGTTACTGGGAAGTGTTCTCTCTGAATACCTCTCCCAATTGATTTTGGGGGGTGGGGTGGGGGGTGTGGGTGTGTTTGTCAATTGTGCAGTTCCTGTTTATGTATCTAGCAGATAAAATGAATAACATTTGATTCCCGATGAAATTAGTTTGGGTATTGTAGGAGTTTAGAAGGCCACGTACGCTCATTTTGAGGCTGAATGTGTCCTTAATGTGTACACATGCAATCGTTGCTGCTTTTTCCAAAATTGTTTGTTTTTGACTTTTGAGATTACTTTTGAGATGGAAAAAAAACCACATCCATCTTGTGTCAAGAGTTAAGGTTGGTATGTGGTGATGAAATATGTGTTTGTTTACTGCTTGGGCCGTGTAAGATTGATCATGTTCTTAACGTCTTTCTTTCCTTGCCTTTTGAAGCTCGAGGCAAGTAAGTATATTATTTGGTTAGTGTTTGCCAGTGGGTTTTGCTGCTGTTCCTGGGACCCAGCAGCGTGGATGTTTGCAAGGTGGATGTCTCCCACAGCAGATGCCGGGCACCCAGGGATGCAGACCTAGTGCTTGCAGGGATGGTGGCTCCCTCCTGCTCCCCAGAGGCTCTTGGGCCGTGGTGCTGCTACTCCCTTCCAGCCAGGGTGCTTTTTCTGGGGTTCTCTCTCCCTGATGGGGAGAGCATGGTGGCTCCTGAGGCTTTGCGCAGCCTGGCAGGCACCTGGTGCCACCCAGGGCCCCCTCCATGGCCACGGCACCGCGCAAGTGCATTGGCGTGCCTCCTCTGCTGCTCCACAGCTCCTGCCTCCTGGGGAGCTTGGCTTGCCGAGGGCCTGACATTTTCTACAGCTGCCGCATGTAGGAGCCAGGAATAAAAGGATTAATGGAAATGTCACTCTGCTGTAAGTCTTGGGCTGCCGTAACCAGGTACAGTAGCTGACAGGAGCGAGGGATGCTGTCCCAATCCCCTTGCGGCAGGGCTGGCTGCAGCTGGATGGGTGCGGGGCTGGGGACTGTGGGATGGTGTGCTGAAGGCTTGTTGAGTTACTGCTACACGTTATCACTACTGCCCTTGTTTTCCTTCTCCTTTGGTGGCTGTTTGGCTGGTTGCACGTGGAGTTGAGTCAATAAGATGGCAAATGTGTCTAATAAATGAGAGAGCGGTTTCACTGCCAGGGAGGGCTGGCACAGGGTGGTGAGGACCCTGGGCTGGACCTTTGTGGGGTGCTACAAGCTGGGTCTGAGCAGCAGCAGGCATTTTTCCACATGCAGCTTGTGTACAAATTATGAGGACTCAGAAGCTGTTTTTTTCTCCCTCCCTCCTCATCCTGGGTTAAATCCCAGCCTCCTGCTAAAGTGAATTTTTTTCCAGTGCCTTTCATCAAGGTCCTCCTCTCAGATGGTCCAGATAGCTCTGCCTTCTCCCAGCAACTTCTATTTCTGGCCCTTCCTCTGTGCACGCACTTGTCTTCAGACCCCAGCTGTGCAATCACAAGCAGATCACTTCCTGCTGAAGTGAATTTTTTTCCAGTGCCTTTCATCAAGGTCCTCCTCTCAGATGGTCCAGATAGCTCTGCCTTCTCCCAGCAACTTCTATTTCTGGCCCTTCCTCTGTGCACGCACTTGTCTTCAGACCCCAGCTGTGCAATCACAAGCAGATCACTTATCCCAGCTCTAATTGCAGGAGCTCAGGTTTATGGGGGTTTGTTTAAGAGAATGGTTCTGGATGAGGTTTGGCTCATTTTTTTTTTCCCCTTCCCCATCACAGAGTCAGGGAGGGAAGGAGAGAAACCCATGAAGGGGATTGTCAACATTCAGCTGTCCAAGTGGTAGACCTCAAAGTGCTCCAAAGTGCAGCCTGGCAGGGTCATGCCTGTCCTTTAAGGTTTGAAATTATCTGTATAAGTGTAAGGGGCTTGAGGCCAACCTAATCAGTGGAGGAGCAGTGGGTGACTGGGAGCCAGAGGTGTGGATCTAGAAATAGCTTTGGATCCCTCTCCTTGAATGAGGAGAGTTAGGGCTCCATGGCTTGTCTGATAGTTGGTGCTGTGATGGCTATCACTGCTACAGAGGCAATTAATCCAAAATATAAAAGTGGGTTTTGCAATATGGATCTACCTCTTCTGCTGGCAGTTGACTCCTTCCAGAACAAGTACTGGCTGGATGTTGAATGGGGATGGATGTGGGTCTGATCTAAACTGGATATCATCCAGTGCCATTTTGTGCCCTACTGGAGGTCGTCTTGCTGGGCAAAGATGCATTGGTGGGTTCCTGGTCCCATTTTTGTGCAGCTTTGACAGCCCACTGGCTGTGGTGATCCTGGAAAACACCATGCACTGGATGCGAGGTCCAGCAGGTCTAGGCTATGGAAAACCGAGCCCTCGTAGCCAAGATTTTAGAAGTTAGTGCTAACTGGTGATGCAGGTGAACATGAGAAATGTTTGGTGTTGGCAGAAAACCTCAGTCTTTGGCTTGAGGTTGTACAAGAAAACTTTAGGATGATATGGTTCCTAAATTTGAAACACATAAACCATCTGAATACATATTTACTACATCGCTGTGTTTAGCACAGCTTATTGAGGAAAAAGTCTTGCATGCTCTCACTCTCTCTGTCCTTCTCCTAATAACACTAGAAAGCTTTGGCCAATTTATTTGAACTAGATAGAGGATTACAAGTTGTGAGAATATCAAGTTCCTACACATATCATGAAAATAGGCAGAGGAATAGTAAAGAGAGGTTGTTGTAGTGCCTTGTGGGGAAGCATACAACATTATCACATTCCTCATTAGGCACTGGGAAGTGCACAGGAGAGCTCAGCTTCACAGTGCACAGGAGAAGACAGGACCTGTTTCCTGCTGGCTGAAGTGTCCAGCCTTCGCTGGCTGTGGGACAGTAGAGCTGCGCATGTAGGAGAGTAGGCTCCCAGCAGGTTGTGCCCAGAGCTAGACAAGTTGACATTTGCAGTGCCCAAGTCCCTCTTTACTGGGAAGCGGGTACTTAAGAGACTGTGATTTCCTCTAAATGCTTTCCTGGGCGGCTGCGTACTCAGCCAGCCAGTCAGGAGGCACTGCCTTGTATTTGCAAAGGGTAATTGTGCACACCTTATTTATTGTGTAGTAAAGAAAACAAATTAAGGCTGTGTAATTATAGAGACAGGCACACTTTTAAATAAGGCTTAAGTAGTCAGATTTCTATTTAGAAAATTAATAATTGCCATTTCTTTCTGCATTCAGAGGCTCTTCTTAAACTGTCTTCCGGAGGTTTATACATGCTCTAAATTGGTTTGTGGGCTGGCCAAGACACAGCTCCTGTCAAAGAGCTCATTCTCAGTGCTGTCTGCCAGAGTAAGGATGGGGTTGAGGATCAAGCTTTCTTTTCCAGTCTTCACCCAAGTGTCTTAAAGATGGAGACCCTGGAGTGCTTTGTGCTGAGTGTGACTGGCTTTTGAGCATGGTATGGTCAGATCACTTTCTTCTCCACAGGCATTTTTATCTGTGTGATCCTGTTAGTCTTTTTCTCCCAAAAATGAGGATTGGGGATGATCTAGAAGGTGCTGGCAGGAAT